ACCTATTATTTCAAATGGAAAGATGGTGGCCAAAACAAAGAACAAGCAGCAGCACTGCTATTTGTCGACAAAACCTATTATTTCAAATGGAAAGATGGTGGCCAAAACAAAGAACAAGCAGCAGCACTGCTAAGAGCTTGCAGTGTTTTGTTGGAAATAAAGGTGCAGGCCTCCAGGCCAAGTAGAAGTGTTAAGTCGCAAGCAAAACATCGAAGGCTATTTGCCATACAGGAACAAGAAACGGTAATGTGTTGTAACTGCATTGCAGAGCTGCTGTAGGATCTAGTCGATGCGACCTGTGATACGCTCTCCTCAGAGCCGAGTAAGGAAGCGAAAGATACATTAGATGCAAACGTACAACAACTACAAGCCCGACAATAGACACAAACACAAAATGGACACCTTCAGCTTCAACAAAGGATTGGCATGCAGTGGCTTGCGGAGCGCCTTGACTGGAAAACTGTTCCGCGTGTTGCACAGCGGAGGTCAGGAATCCACACACACCTGCGTGCGTTCCGCCAAAACGAGCTAGATGGTAAAGTCACGTTACAACCCCTTAGTCCTTCAGGGTGGTGCTCCCCTCTAATCTGAATCAAATCCAAAGAAAAAAGCTGTAGTGCGCATTTCGTCTTCGCATAAAACTAGCGCTTCCGCTTCAAGCAACATATGCAGGATGATACAGACCTACTATGCGATACTTCACAAAAAGAAAGCACACATCCATAAGTCTATTGTTCATACGTGTAAAATTTCCACTTGGATGCTGTTGGACCCCTACTAAAATGTACATGCGGTTGAAGACCGGGAAGACTTTGAACGCCTTTTAACAACGTTGAAGGCGCTGAGCGCTAGGCCCAAACATTTGAAAGAGTTATCATTGCCCACTGCCGTTCCCGCTCTCTTCCCGAAGACTCCATTGTGCACATTTGAAAGAGTCACAATTGTCCACTACCGTCCCTAGCGTCTTTCCACAGACTCCATGGCGCACCCATCTGGGTTTGAGGGGCAGCCTCAGCGGCTGGCCAGGATCCCTGGCTACCTGAGGGCAGTGGTAATTTGCTTCCAACTACAGGAAATGTTTCCCCGACGGCGCCAAGGGGAGAAGCTGGCTGACGAGGAGGAAAACGAAGCCATGCATGCTCCCTACGTCGTGCCCGCTCAGCCCCCACCGGCCCAAGACGCCCTGCCACTGAAAATTCTTCAGCAATCAGGGGCCCAACAGGATCAAACAGTCTCGTCTCGAACACGGAATGCAACGAAGTGCCTCCATGGGCACCCTCACCCACAATCTGCGGAGAGTCTGCACGGGCAACAACCTGCGAAGCGCTTGTCGGTGGCCAATCTCCAAAAGATATATGGAGAGGCGCAAGGAGAGGTGCAGCGTGCCGTGGAGTTTGTGGAACGGGATTCTGGAAGGAAGGTGCCGAGAAATGAAGTGACAGGCCTTCACTACGCTGAAGAGGTGGGGGGGAGGTAAAAACAGCTCTAGGGGGTGATTGGTGGGAATCAGGACTATGATGAAGAGACGTAAAGCTTTCCCCAGAAGGCGCGGGTGCTGGAAACGTCGTTGTCAGGTACTCACGCTGGAGATCAATGGGTATAGCCGGTGGATCAGGCAAGGTGAAAGGGCTCTGAACACCGGTAGAAGGAACAGCGAGTCTCCAGGGGACAGTGAAGCCAGGGGGTGGTGGAACCTTTCCCCAAACATCCTTAGCAACAGAAAAAATAAAGGATGCATCCTGCGGTGCCGCAGTGTATGGAGGTTCTGTCGGTGTGAACATGGGAGCATGCCTTCGAGGCACAGAGGGCACTGTAGGAAGATCCCGGGAGGACTGCTGGAGGTACTTCGTTACTGGCTGTGTTTCCTGCCAGCCTGGAGACGAATAAAGACGGGGTTGATCCCAT